CATGCGCTCTGCGCACTTCTGCAGCCCAAACTGGAGCCCAGCTCCCACCAGGGAGCTCAGGCACTCAGAACACACTAGAGGCTGAAAGGGAAGGAGGGGAGGAGAGGGGACAGCACTCCCCCTGGCACTGGTCCTCCCAAGAGGAGCTCTGGGATGGCAAAGGGCTGGGCTCAGAGAGGGACGAGGGGGAACCACGTGGACACCCTGACTGAAGGGTTGTCCCATGCCCAGTTGAGGCTCAGCCCGAGCTCAGGCACGCCAGCACTCAGCCATCCTTCCAACCAGCCAAACTCAACCTTTGGAGGGCACTGCCCCTTGCACCCCAACACCTCCTCTGGGTGCTCTCATGTCCTCAGCACACCGCTGCTCCTGACAGTCACCGAGCTGCAAATGCCACTGAATTACAGTTTTCCCTGCAAATGGTTCTTGCACGAGAGCCCCAAATGAGGACCTTGCTCTGCACAGGGATATATTTAAGTCATGCTGCAGAGGGGCTCGTGTTGGAGGCAGCCTTTGAAGCTCCATGTCCTGTCCAGCCCCAGCACGAAGCAGGGCCGGGTGCCTGTGTTTGGGAGAGTGAACCCCAAGCCCTGCTCTGCAGCAGCAGGAGCCACTCAGAAAATAGATAGAAATAGATAGAAAACTAGACAGCCATAAAAGGAGCATCTGCCAGGCTCAGGGAGGGTCCCTGAGCTGATCCCACCAGGTATTGGAAGAAATACCACAAGAGAAAGCAAACTAAAACTCCTACAGCTGGCTCTGCCCCTGCTGAGCTGTTCCAGCACGGGGCTGGGGGTGGCTGCTCTGGGAAGGGGCACTGGGAGCAGCACCCCCCACCAGACAGAGGGGTGCAGAGGGCACAGGGAGAGCTGCCCCGGGCAGCCAGACCTCTCAGCAGAGAGGGGGATCTCCTTGGCCACTCCTGAAGCAAAGCCCCTCTCCTGGCCCTGCTGGTGGCCACCCCGGGTGGGCTGGGAGCCCTCCCTCCTCTCCTGCCTCCTCCAGCAGAGAGGTCTCCACTGGGACAGAGGCTCAGGAGCCCTTCAAGTGAGGTCTGCAACGGGGAGAGACTTGTGCTGACAGGGTTAAAGCTGCAAGTTGGATTCAGTAAATGAAGGAAAACAATTTTCCTGTATGCTAAGCGAAGCAGATGAGATGCACTCAGCTTCTATTTAGGGCAGTGTCAAAATTAGCAGCGGGCCAGAGAGGAACATGAGCAATGTGGGAGCTGATCAGGGAGGGGAAAAACCCCTCTCACCCCTCTCCACGTGCCAGTCCACTAATGAAAGAGGGGCTCGGATGCACCCTCCTGCAGCAACAGTTGCACCTTGGAAATCAAAGCTCGCCTGGGCTTGAGCCGGGGGTGAACTACATCTCTCTTGGTTCGTGTGACCCAAATTTCAGGCTAGAGGAGGACACCAGCTCATTCACACCAAGCCTCCCTCCAGCTTCCCCAGCCACACGGTCACTCAGAGCAGTCACAGGTCCCCGGGAGGAGTTTTGCCTTGCAGGGGAACGTGGGTCAGAGCCCCCAGCCCGGGGCTTCCCCCAGCACTGAGAGCAGCTTCCCCCGGGGCACATCCTGCCAGGGATCCCTGCTCAGAGCGTGCCTGGGAGAGGACAGGAGGCTCTGAACCAGCAGGAAGAGCAGCCCGTGCACACGAGGTGCTGGCTGCCTGCCCGGGCACCTCCCAGCACGGTGGCACCCCGAGGCCCGTGGGGCAGCACTCAGGCTGGCACGTGGGGTGCGCAGGGCCCGTGGCTCCTGCCAGGCTCCCTCCAGCTCTGCCCCAGGCACCCGCCTCTCTAATCAAAGTGCCCAACTGTGAGAAGGCAGGGAGTGCTTGGCACCCTCCCTGCCAGCCTGCTCCGAGCCCCGAGGCAGGAGCTGCGAGGGCAGATGGATGCACAGTCACACCCTGGGGGCCACCATCTGCTGCAGAGCTGTGCTTGCCCAGGGCTTGCCACATCCAGGATGCTTGGGAGGCTTCCCAAGAGCCAGGGCATCCCCTAACGGGGCTGAGCAACGGTCCTGAGGCAGCACAGACACACAGCCACTGGTCACCACGAGCCTGAGAGACAAACCTCTGCATGGTTCCTGGGCAGCAGCTTCGGTTTCCAGCCCCGAGACCACTCCTCACACCACAGCGGGTGTCCCTGCCTGCCCTCATCCCCCATCCTCTGCCTCTAGCACCACAACTGCCCAAATTCTGCCAGCTGTGACCTTCCTCTGGTCAGCCAGCCTCTGCCACGGGCAGGGAGACAAACCCAGCCCATCTGCACAGGGGGCTTCTGCTGGCACTGGCCACCTGGGGGCTGCTGGCACTGCAGAGACCCCTCCCAGGGCAGCTGTGGCTGGAGACACGCTCAGGGACACCCCCCCTCTCCCCACAGTGTGACAAGGACAGGCATGGAGCCCCTGCCCCTGCTCCCTGAGCTCGGGCAGGATGGGGACAGCCACCGTGCCAGGCAGGGGGAGCCCCCGTGCAGGGGGTCAGAGCTTTGTTCCCATTCTCTGTGAGTGGCTTTTCCACCTGGATGATGCTGCT